TAAACGCGTTGTAACATTTCGAATGCATTATACAACTAGCTTAGCTTTTTTAAGATATTAGCTGAAATGTGCACGTGAATTATAATTAATTTTAACTTAAAGTTACCTACCCTCCAGCCCTTAAGTTTGTAGCATAACCGGTCAATACAACTAAAACCAGAATTGCCAAAAACAGCGAGCTTATAGCCTTCATATCCAGTTTGAACAGCCGATACTGATAGTAAAAGAAGTCCTACAACAAGGAAATTAAAAAGTTATAATTTTCCTCTTGCATAAAACTCTACTAAACCAATCCATTCGCTGACATCTGGTAAACGTTAAACTACTTTACAAAATGTTTAAAACTAAAACGTGGGGCGAGTTATTTTTTTTAGGTGAAGGTCCTGGTAACAAGGGTCGTTTTGCGACCTTGATAGTTCACTGCTGTTGCGATCTTCTTAGTAACTCATTATTACCCTTTTCGACGCAATTATTATTTCTCCCGTGAAAATTTTTAGAGCTAATAATCTCCCAGAAGCATTAAATTTTCCTTTCAGGATAACAATACTGCAGCATCCGATGCAAAGCAGTCAGCTGACGACTCTAGTATAATCATAAAGTTTTATTTCAATTAAATATACATTATATCCGCCTAACTTGCTACTGAATTTCACCCTATCCGCTTACACGCAAAGCAGATTATGTCACCGTCATTAATATGCCAACAAGTCATTCTTAGGCACTACACTTATTCAAGTACAAAGATATTCATGAGCGGAAACGTTAACTGACTGCAGTCAATACTGCCTTTGCTGAACCTGCAATGAAGTTTCAGCAAAAGCCCAAAGCAATGTTATTTTGTCCACAATTTTATAGCTTCCCTGTACAAGCAGTTTTTACATGACGCACCGTTTTGAAACGCAATATCATAAACTTGTTAAACGATCTTTGAGCGTCTATCCAGAGTATTAGCAGTGTAGGAGAACTTTTTCAGATAAAAAGAACGCTTAATCAGCAAAACAACTGAATAAACTTCCTGTGTTGCTCAGTCAAAATGCGAAAAATGCCTCACCACTGCGTTGTTCATCGCCGAAGCGGTGTTATGAAGCTGTTCAAGGAAGTAGTTAATTTCAAAATTGTTTGCATCTTTGTCAAAACTTTAATTAGATTCTGCCCATGGATAATGTCACCTGTATCGATCTTTCCAAATGTACGTTGTTTCCCGTTGAGGGAAGAAAGTTTCCAAGTTACTTTCTTTTCCATAATTCACATTCCAAAATTTAGCTACGTATCATGGCCGTTGAAAACCCCGACAAACGTCTTCATTTATACATGTTAAGGAATATTTAATGCCAATGTATTTAGTAAGCTAGTCGTACATACCGAAAGTAAAATGATAATTTTTACGAGTGGACCGCTGCAAGGTTTCAGACTTTTCTTCAGGTAAATCAGCAAGGAGGCGGAGATGATTGACATCCACCAAAACTTAGGTTTTGTCAAGACGTTTTTGTGCTGAAGGTCGCGTGTGATCGATAACCGCTGTAAGACCGTTTTGTTTAGACATTCTCAGTTAGGCCTCAGTTATATGGTCTCGGGTAACCGAGACAACCCTTCTCCCGAGGCAACTTTATGGAGCGTTTATATGTCAAAACGTTGTCTCCCTAGTACGAGTCAAAGTTGACCACGCATGATTATTCGTTACCCTTATTGAATTATCAAATGTCCAAATATCTCTTTTTCTTTGATTTTTTCCTCGGTTATTCGATCAGAGTGGGTTTTGCGGAGTTAATTTTCACTTCTTTGATACGAATTTCTGCATTAAATCCTAAATCTAGACATTTCGCGACACTCGCCACGCCGAGAATTTTCTCGGTTAGGCGAGCCAAAGGAAGTGTTTATCTGAAGAAAAGTTGTCCCGCCTGCCAGGGTTACCCTACCTGCTGAGGCGAGACAACTCGCCCACCCGAGTTGTCTCTCCCAAGTGCTTGCACTGTCAGCCTGAAGCAAGACTTCTTCCCTCTAAACTGCGCGAAAAGCGATTTAAGCTTCTTTTAGAGTTTCTTATTTTAGCTAATCCGCAATCCGACTGACGTTTCGTCACCTTGATACCTTGTGTATCATGTGCCGGGGGTGGGGGTGGACTAGAACTTCTATATTAAAGAAATGGGGACGGGGTCATTTTCTTTGGGGTGTTCAGGGGAAAACGACAAGGTAACTTTTCGGGTTTGCGCGCGAGCAAATTGATTAACGCCCGCACACTTTTTTGGTGGTTTTAAGTTTATTGGAAAGGAAACCTGCCTTCTATATTTAAACATTATTTAGTTTTACTCAGCTCGATTAGCTTTTCAGTTATGCTGAGTAAACGTTATCTTTTGTTGTATTAATATATTATGCTTGTAAATTAAGTTTAACTTCTTAATTTGCTAATAAAGCTTGTTGTTGTTGTTGTTGTTAAAATTTTGTTCTTGGTATTGGGACGAAATTGTCATCGAGCTTGAGCCACGATCGATCAAATCCGTCTCCTTTAAGGACGGTGCCTACTTTTGTTAGTGCGCACACATTCTGCGCATCACGCAAGGCATGGTTTAAGAGCCACGCGCGCGCTAGGGTGAATAGTGACGCAATCAACTACGCTACCTAGTACACGACTAAAATGACAGCAAAATTTTCTAAAATGAAAGCAAAAAGTTTAATGAACTTGTACTTAAACCAGGAATACCAGAATAGTAGCATATCGCTAAGCATTAACTGCTAACGTCTTCCACCCGAAAAACTAGCTGGTTATCTGTTGAGAATTATTCTGAAATCCAACTGTATACATGTACCTGCAGATGACGTAGTGCGCGCGCAAAACAAGTGCGAGATACGCAGTTGTTTTACCTAGTGTAACGGGCACCGTAAAAGTTTTCAAAAAAGATCAATAACTTTAAAAAACGCATGGTTATCCCTACATTTTATGTTATGAAATGGAGGTGGCAAGCCTATTCAACACGTGATTGGTTTGTGGTTGTGAGCAAAAGTTGTTTAGACTGTATTTTAGCTGAACCCGAGGAAGGCTGTCAGAGACGCTAAAAGCGCTGTTGCAACGATTTTGTTATTAAAAATATATCAAAATGATTTTTATGTTGCCATTTACCGTGCAGTTTTAAGATCTTTATAAATTAATGTGTTTGCTTTTCTGTATGTAATGGCGAATTCTAAGGAAATCTGTGAAAAAATATCTTTTTCTTCTTTTTCCAGAAAAATGCTCATGTCAGCATTTTTGTTGAAATTCAAGGCTAATTATCTCGAAAAAATGCGTGGCTACCCCCAGTTTTCTTTGTGGATTCTAATAGCCCTTGCAAAGATGTACTTTTTTCGCGTGGTCCTAACCTGGCGCAAAAACCTTTGTATTTTGTAGGTACCGTCCGTAAGAGTTTAATTCGACGAGTGCTTCCATGTGTTTAATAGGGGAGTCCCCCCGGATCTTGTGTGATCATATTTCCTCGTAGCCAGTATGTTTGCCTGTTACGTAATCTAATACTGAAATAAATCGAACGGGAGTTTAACCCCGCTTCGGCAGACTGACTTATTTTATCTTCCTGTATAACTTTGGTTCGTGCGCTAGATTCGTCTCTTCAGATCCTGGTACCATTCAAACTATCCACCTAAGATCTCCCACTCGAAGAGCCTAGTCTCGAAGGTTGCTGTTCAGTTTAAATTGAATATACATGTTTAAAAACAACAACAACAGCAAACAAAGAAACAAAAAACAAAACATTATAAATGGTCCATACGGCGACGGTCCTCAAAGCGACCAGCGAAAAGGCTTAAGATAACAAGGTTAATGTCAAGCTACATTCTTTCTCTTCAGTTAAATTTCAAATTTAACTGCTGAAAATGGTAATACGATGTAATATTACAGTTTGCTCTGTTACGGTGCAACAGAGAAAAAAAGAAGAAGCAGAGCAAACGATGTTTGTAATTCAAAAGTATTGGGCTTGAAATCTAGGTGTTCTTCTCTCACTGATGCTTGTTTTTTTTTTTTTTAATGATTTCGCGGGTTACATTGTTAGAAAATTACCTCTTAGAGGACTCAAAGGCATTCAATGAAAAGCGAGATACAAATATGGCCTTACATAACGTATACACTGTAACATCTGCTAGATCGGCATGGTTACCAAGTAAAGGTGGCTAAAAACAGTTTTTTTTTTGTTGTTTTTTTTGAGCCTTAACTAGCGAGGTGCAAACTGTTCTGTTTTGAATGGCTGTGATGTTTTTTTAAGGTAACTCTCCACTGTGCTTTTCGTTGTGTTTAAGCCATAAATTAAGGTTGTACTGTTCTGTTGCATAGCAACAAACTTGACCCACTTTTTGCCATCAAATGCATCTATCTTAAAAACTAAGCCAGTGACGCCATATAAAATCTTTTTATTACACATAGAAGAAGAAACCAGGAAAATTAAAAAAAATTCTGCGGAGTTGATTTTGCTTAAATTTAACAAAGTAGAAATTTCAAGATTGGAAAAATTCTACTGCACAGTTCTCTATTTTGAATTTCCCACATGCATTCCGCTTTTGCTGTTGAAATATATTTTTGTTTTTGCATTAAGGTATTATGGTAGGTGGGTTGACAGTGTTTGGAAATCGCGCTCTAACGCTGGCGCTTTGAAAGAAAACCCCATCAACCTATACATTTTCTTAAAGCTTAATAGTTATAGAACACAGTCATATCTTTGAATTTTCTCAAAAGTGATTGTCGCAGTGATATTAAAAGAAATACCCAGAAACACTGCTTCTCTTAAGCTGGTTCGCTTCCGCGCGTGAATTATGGGAGCGGCGCGATTTACATCGGAAATGTTTTCTCACACATCACCCTCAAAAATCGTGTCTGCGATTTTCCACCGACTTTTGTTCCTTCTGTGATTTCTACTTT